CCTCAGTCCTGCATCGCGTGGCCTTGGTCCTCGTTCTACAGCCTCAGTCCTGCATCGCGTGGCCTTGGTCCTCGTTCTACAGCCTCAGTCCTGCATCGCGTGGCCTTGGTCCTCGTTCTACAGCCTCAGTCCTGCATCGCGTGGCCTTGGTCCTCGTTCTACGGCCTCAGTCCTGCATCGCGTGGCCTTGGTCCTCGTTCTACAGCCTCAGTCCTGCATCACGTGGCCTTGGTCCTCGTTCTACAGCCTCAGTCCTGCATCGCGTGGCCTTGGTCCTCGTTCTACAGCCTCAGTCCTGCATCGCGTGGCCTTGGTCCTCGTTCTACAGCCTCAGTCCTGCATCGCGTGGCCTTGGTCCTCGTTCTACAGCCTCAGTCCTGCATCGCGTGGCCTTGGTCCTCGTTCTACAGCCTCAGTCCTGCATCGCGTGGCCTTGGTCCTCGTTCTACAGCCTCAGTCCTGCATCGCGTGGCCTTGGTCCTCGTTCTACAGCCTCAGTCCTGCATCGCGTGGCCTTGGTCCTCGTTCTACAGCCTCAGTCCTGCATCGCGTGGCCTTGGTCCTCGTTCTACAGCCTCAGTCCTGCATCGCGTGGCCTTGGTCCTCGTTCTACAGCCTCAGTCCGGCATCGCGTGGCCTTGGTCCTCGTTCTACAGCCTCAGTCCTGCATCGCGTGGCCTTGGTCCTCGTTCTACGGCCTCAGTCCTGCATCGCGTGGCCTTGGTCCTCGTTCTACGGCCTCAGTCCTGCATCGCGTGGCCTTGGTCCTCGTTCTACGGCCTCAGTCCTGCATCGCGTGGCCTTGGTCCTCGTTCTACAGCCTCAGTCCTGCATCGCGTGGCCTTGGTCCTCGTTCTACAGCCTCAGTCCTGCATCGCGTGGCCTTGGTCCTCGTTCTACAGCCTCAGTCCTGCATCGCGTGGCCTTGGTCCTCGTTCTACAGCCTCAGTCCTGCATCGCGTGGCCTTGGTCCTCGTTCTACAGCCTCAGTCCTGCATCGCGTGGCCTTGGTCCTCGTTCTACAGCCTCAGTCCTGCATCGCGTGGCCTTGGTCCTCGTTCTACAGCCTCAGTCCTGCATCGCGTGGCCTTGGTCCTCGTTCTACAGCCTCAGTCCTGCATCGCGTGGCCTTGGTCCTCGTTCTACAGCCTCAGTCCTGCACCGCGTGGCCTTGGTCCTCGTTCTACAGCCTCAGTCCTGCATCGCGTGGCCTTGGTCCTCGTTCTACAGCCTCAGTCCTGCATCGCGTGGCCTTGGTCCTCGTTCTACGGCCTCAGTCCTGCATCGCGTGGCCTTGGTCCTCGTTCTACAGCCTCAGTCCTGCATCGCGTGGCCTTGGTCCTCGTTCTACAGCCTCAGTCCTGCATCGCGTGGCCTTGGTCCTCGTTCTACAGCCTCAGTCCTGCATCGCGTGGCCTTGGTCCTCGTTCTACAGCCTCAGTCCTGCATCGCGTGGCCTTGGTCCTCGTTCTACAGCCTCAGTCCTGCATCGCGTGGCCTTGGTCCTCGTTCTACAGCCTCAGTCCTGCATCGCGTGGCCTTGGTCCTCGTTCTACAGCCTCAGTCCTGCATCGCGTGGCCTTGGTCCTCGTTCTACAGCCTCAGTCCTGCATCGCGTGGCCTTGGTCCTTGTTCTACAGCCTCAGTCCTGCATCGGGCGGCATCTTGTGTTTGAACTGTTTTATTCTCTGGTCTGTGTTGGCGAATTCAACGGTTTTGCAAAGTCTTCCGAGATAACTACTGTTGTGATTTTGGGTTACACAAGAACGAGTTGAATTGAAATGAATTGAATAGCTGTCGAACTATACTTATTCTTTCCTTCCATCATGTTTAATCAGGAAAACTAGTCACTACCATGATAATATAATTGTACAACATGAGGCAAAGTAATGATAGCATGTTTATGTAAGCTGATTTTTGCATAATGCAGCCTTTTCCTTGAAGTATGCCTCACTTGTTTACTTCAACTTTTCTCCAAACACAATTTAACTGGAGCTTTGAGGTTACGCCATGTCAGGTTAAGCCGCACAATGACCACATCAGAGCCCGCCTGTTCCTGCTCCCTGGACACGTGCATATATTGGTTTGGCGGGTCTTATGGCGTGTGTGTGTGTGTGTGTTTGGGTTTACGTGGGTCAGTGCTGTGACAGGCTTTGGTCCCTTATCAGCAGCCGCTCACAGGAACTGAACTAACAGAGGCGCTGAAACCTTATCACGCAGAACACTAGCACTGTTTATACACACGTACGCACATACACCTTGGCTTTCCTCTCTAGGGTCGTTCAGTCTAACGGGAGGAGGAACACATGATTAACTACACGTCCTGTGAGAAACATACAGTATGTTGTATGTCGGGTTTTATTTACACTCGTCTTCAGCCTCGGATAGGATCGATCACTTTAGTAACAGCATGTCCAAATTCTGTTCTCTGTGTCATTCAATTGAATAGATGTGGAATTAAAACGGAATCATAATCAGTGATCATCCAGCTAACTTCATCTTCGCCATTAGAGGAATTCTACACCTTGTAGTGAAGCTCAGCGTGACTTTGTTTTACTGTAACCATGTTCATTTTTGATCGAGCCACAAAGTCTGTGTATGGAGGTAATGATGTTAGTAAGAAGGGAGACTTTTCTCATTGAGCCAACTTCAACTCTGTCAAGCGTGAATCTATATGGGCATTGCCTGAATGCAAACAAAAAGCATAATCTGTGTGGTTTGACGCTGGATGAGTCTGGTGAACTCAATACCTATTACTGGCTTGTATGGTTATAGACTTAGATCTGTTGTACATTTGAGACATCAATACATTTGATTTTCTATTTACATTAGGGTCATGTTGGAAAAACATATTGTTAATCAAACATCGTTTAACAAACACACATACTGTACATTGCAGTGGTAGTAAGGTTTTAATAGGGTCCATTGCTATTTTAGAATGTATTTATAATAGATTAATGTCATGTCATGTTTTGTCTTCCATCCAATCCTATATCTTTCTCCAGTGAAGTGTGTCTGTGTTTTGATTATACAAATGATTTGTTCGAGCTCCAGTTTGTCCGTCAAAAATGAGGAGAATAAACTTTATACAACTATTAAGGTTTTTTTTTATTTTGACTGAGTCTTTTTGATATAAGTGCACAAACCAAACCAGTTGTCAACATGACAACTTTTGTCCATCTCTGGTTTTCAAAGCCTGATATTTGTCTCTCCTGGGATGACTTTACAGTAGGTGCCACAGTGATGCAGCTGCAGCTCTAATAAACAATCAGTCATTGTGCAGGCTGCTGATGCATCATTGCTTGTCAGTCTTGGGGTACCAAGGCAGCTGTGGCTATACAGCAATAGCTATAGCTTACCATCGAAAGTATAGAGTGTCCAGAAAGCAGATGGTATAACAGTTGAACTGTTAGTATTCAGTTGTAACAGCATATGTAACCAGGTCATGCATGAAATTGTCTGAAGGTCATGGTTAATGTGTGAATCTATATTAATAAGAGCTTCCAGCAAGAACAAAAAGAGGTCTTTGATGTTTTTGACACTTTCCGGATATCATGTGGGTACTGAGTTCATTTACATTTCTTAGTCGAAAGTATACAGTATCCAGAGGCTTTATGTAACCCATTCATCCCCACTTTAACTCTGTAGAGTCATTGTCACATATTGACCTGTAAAAACAGGCCCTGGGGTGTGGGGTTGGGCCATGTGACCTATCTTATGCAGACTTTCCAACTGTGACGTCAAAGTATGTGCATTGATGGACTATGGATTAAACACAGTTATACTTGAGGAAGTGATAACAGTATGTTCCATTTTGTTGTTTGTTGTTATTTGTCTTTATTAAATGTAAAAGTGTTTTATTGATGTTTTATGTTTCCTTTAATCAAAAGAAAAGGCTATGACAAAATGTTAAGTTACCATCATACTACATGCAACACATAGAATGGTAGCCTCGTTTTGAGCTTTTAAGCTCAAAACGAGGGGGGGGTCGGAGGTTAGGGCTGCACCCAGTACACAGAGAAATAGCCCCTCACTGATCCTCCTGCAGGTGCTGAGTCCAAAGGGGCCTTGATTTTTCAGCGGGAGCTGTTTTTGCCCAAGGACGCAAAAACAGAAGTGGGAGTGGTGAAGAAGGTCATATGGTGGGCTCAAATCCTCAAGCTCCAGGCTCAAAGGCCATTGCTCTACCAACTGAACCACTGTCGCCCTACAATTTAAAGTGTATTCTCTGAGCCACAGGAAGCCAGTGCAGAGACCTGAGAACTGGACTAATGTGGTCGTACTTCCTGGTTCTAGTCAGGACTCGAGCTGATGCATTTTAAATATAATGCAGCTGTTTTGCAGCTTGTTTGGACAGACCCAGCAATGGATAAAGTGGCAGAAAATGCATGTTTTATGAATGAGTAATTATCCTAAATGCTTTATAAGGTCGATGTTCTTCAAAATGAAAAGATAAGGAGCTGTTGTGACTTCAGCTGTGTCTTCATTTCACATGTTGTCAGGCGTATAACATGAGAACATGTGTCTGAGAAACATCCCCATTCCATTTAACCATTCCCAAACTAATTTCACTCGCTGTTCACAACTTCGTCCAAAAAAAGGTGACAGCTAAATAATTTCCCCTTTGGCTTGCTTTCTCTGAAGACTCTTCCCAAGAGGAGACCAAAAACACTTTGTTCTGAGTTTTCACAATTTAAGCCAACAAGAACTGGTGCCAACCATTTCAATTAGGTAACCAGTCAGTACTTTGGCTGCTGCTAAATGTGGGTAAGATGGCTATAGAAGGAGGGTGTTGGTCTTATTCGAGGCTCCAAATGGCAGATGACATCATTCTTTGGTAATGGGGGAGTAAATGGTCCAGGAGACAGCCAGAGGTGGGGTTATAATCATCTACTCAAGGGGTTTGATTTGTAACAGAGTAGTACCACATGTGCCCTGTAGATGGTGCTGTTAGTATAGTGTCTTTCACATGTCGGAGCCGCATTTGTGGGTCACTGCACATGGATCCAGCGCATGGATCCAGCGCATGGATCCTGCCCATGGATCCAGCACATGGATCCAGCGCATGGATCCTGCCCATGGATCCAGCACATGGATCCAGCGCATGGATCCTGCCCATGGATCCAGCGCATGGATCCTGCCCATGGATCCAGCACATGGATCCAGCGCATGGATCCTGCCCATGGATCCAGCACATGGATCCAGCGCATGGATCCAGCGCATGGATCCAGCGCATGGATCCTGCCCATGGATCCAGCGCATGGATCCTGCCCATGGATCCAGCACATGGATCCAGCGCATGGATCCTGCCCATGGATCCAGCACATGGATCCAGCGCATGGATCCTGCCCATGGATCCAGCGCATGGATCCTGCCCATGGATCCAGCGCATGGATCCTGCCCATGGATCCAGCACATGGATCCAGCGCATGGATCCTGCCCATGGATCCAGCACATGGATCCAGCGCATGGATCCTGCCCATGGATCCAGCACATGGATCCAGCGCATGGATCCTGCCCATGGATCCAGCACATGGATCCAGCGCATGGATCCAGCGCATGGATCCAGCGCATGGATCCTGCCCATGGATCCAGCACATGGATCCAGCGCATGGATCCTGCCCATGGATCCAGCGCATGGATCCTGCCCATGGATCCAGCACATGGATCCAGCGCATGGATCCTGCCCATGGATCCAGCACATGGATCCAGCGCATGGATCCTGCCCATGGATCCAGCGCATGGATCCTGCCCATGGATCCAGCGCATGGATCCTGCCCATGGATCCAGCACATGGATCCAGCGCATGGATCCTGCCCATGGATCCAGCGCATGGATCCTGCCCATGGATCCAGCGCATGGATCCTGCCCATGGATCCAGCACATGGATCCAGCGCATGGATCCTGCCCATGGATCCAGCGCATGGATCCTGCCCATGGATCCAGCGCATGGATCCTGCCCATGGATCCAGCACATGGATCCAGCGCATGGATCCTGCCCATGGATCCAGCGCATGGATCCTGCCCATGGATCCAGCACATGGATCCAGCGCATGGATCCTGCCCATGGATCCAGCACATGGATCCAGCGCATGGATCCTGCCCATGGATCCAGCACATGGATCCAGCGCATGGATCCAGCGCATGGATCCAGCGCATGGATCCTGCCCATGGATCCAGCACATGGATCCAGCGCATGGATCCTGCCCATGGATCCAGCGCATGGATCCTGCCCATGGATCCAGCACATGGATCCAGCGCATGGATCCTGCCCATGGATCCAGCACATGGATCCAGCGCATGGATCCTGCCCATGGATCCAGCGCATGGATCCTGCCCATGGATCCAGCGCATGGATCCAGCGCATGGATCCTGCCCATGGATCCAGCACATGGATCCAGCACATGGATCCAGCGCATGGATCCAGCGCATGGATCCTGCCCATGGATCCAGCACATGGATCCAGCGCATGGATCCTGCCCATGGATCCAGCACATGGATCCAGCGCATGGATCCTGCCCATGGATCCAGCACATGGATCCTGCCCATGGATCCAGCACATGGATCCAGCGCATGGATCCTGCCCATGGATCCAGCACATGGATCCAGCGCATGGATCCTGCCCATGGATCCAGCGCATGGATCCTGCACGAGTGTCCACTTGTTCAGGCCAAAGGTGAGGAACACATTCTACATAAATAGTGATGTTATGAACTTGCAACTTCTGAGCCATAGAGATTAGATTTTGAGATAATTAGAGAATAAATTGTTAGGAATTGTTTTGTTCATCATGGTGTGTGACTCGTTGCTAAAATTATGCTAATGCTAATTGTCATGCTAATTACTTTGAATACCAAATTTGCTGTATTTTTACCAGTGATTTGTCAATATGATATTATTGTGATATAGTGTAGTACAATTATATGAAGTAATTAAATATTCACATCATGTTATTGTAGCTAGCTTTCATTAACATTAATTAACAAACATTTTTGTCTATCTCTGTTATTGTTTTATCTATCTATCTTTATATAAGAATATTAAACATACATTTTTACACACTAACTGTGAATATATAATTTTTCTGCAAATAATTTCTCAGATTGTCCATACCTATATCATTTTTTTATGGATTTGGACTAATTCAAACATTGTACACTGTAAAAAATAACCACATATATTTGACTTTGATTATTGTAACAGCTGCTTACATGTCTTAATAAGAAAGACCTGGCTCGTTTACAAGTCGTTCTAAATTCTGCTGCAAGGCTTTTGACCCGCACCCACAGGAGAGAGCACCCACAGGAGAGAGCACCCACAGGAGAGAGCACCCACAGGAGAGAGCACCCACAGGAGAGCCCACATTACTCCTATCTTGAAGTCCTTACACTCTTCATGGTCAGGCGCCTGAATACATCCAGGGCCTGATCCACCCCTATGTCTCCAACAGGAGTCTGAGGTCCTCCACTCAGAACCTGTTGATGGTCCCCCACTCAGAACCTGTTGATGGTCCCCCACTCAGAACCTGTTAAAACCAGAGGAGACAGATCCTTCCAGGCAGCTGCTCCTCGCCTCTGGAATGAGCTTCCTCAGTCTCTCCGCATCTTAGAGACTGTCGATGATTTTTAGTCCCAACTTAACACGCATTTGTTTAGACAGGCTTTCTCGCCCCACTGTTCATAGGCCTCTGTGAATTGTGTAAACTGGGTTTTTGTTTTTAATCTGACTTGTAAGTGTATTTTATGTGTTTTAATCTGTGAAGCGCTTTGTGACCCTGGTCTGTGAAATACGCTATACAAATAAACTTTACTTACTTGCTTACTTACTTAAGCCCACCATTGACTGTATAGATGCACAATGCTATCCCTGAAGCACAATAGGGAAGTACTAATGGCTCTGGCTCTAAAGTAAACTGCTCCAGTTCAATAAACATATGTGTCACACTCACCATTTTGGGTGTAACACATCCGTGGTTTAGCGCCCTCTGTCATCCCATTGTTTATGATTTAATATAATTGAACTTGATATTGTTTTTCAAAATCCAGATATGAGCCATACACGGATCGACCAGTCCGATGCCTTCATCCTTGGGGGAAACTCCAGCTTGCCTCAGGTACCGTCTTAAAAACATGTCTACCCCTGTTACAGTACGAAGCTAACAATGTAGAACAAATGCCCATGTGAGGGAATTTGCTCCAGCTAGCTTATGTTCAAATTGGCAACTTCCGCATTCAGGCTAACACTATAGTGATCTCACACTCGGTCAGTCCACCTCTGACACCTCTGCTCAGCCCCCTCTGGTCAGTTAACAAGCATCCAAAGTTGCACATTATTGAAGGGGTAGGCAGTTACTGGGATGGTCCTCGGAGCACGAATAAACAATCTGGGTGAATTTCAAGAAGCACCTGGCAACTGACTTCATCTAGTGCAGTAGTTTCCAAAGTTTTTAGCCCGCGACCCTCAATGCTCCGTGAACATGCCGACAAACGTTGACATTTCTCTTTGCTAAGAATCCTGCAGTTTCTCAAACATTCTCAGTCGCCAACGTTTCAAAACTTCCTTTCAAAGCTTTCTTCAACACATAGTTTCTCTAAATAAGACACCACCATTCAGATTTAGCTTTTTGTCTTTGAAAATGTTAATACTCAGCGTTAGGCAGGAGATAGTGGGTGAGAAATGTCATCAATGTGACAAACTGTAAGGCAGGGGTCTCGGGAGCTTCTGGTAGCTCGCCAAAGGATGTACAATTTAACAAATTATCTTTAATGAATACATTGTGAGTCATTACATATCTATTATAAGTTATACAGTAATAACAGTATATTTTACAGGTGTGTCCTCTCTTGTCGTTATTATTACATACATTTTTATTATTGCAAAAAGGAGTAGCTCTCTGCCTCTTCTGTTGTATAAAAGTAGATCTCCGATTGGAAAAGGTTGGACACCCCTGCTGTAAGGGGACTTCAGAGCTTTTGTTGCCTGATCTGTGATAAAGTTTTTGAGCATAACTCGGTTTGTTTGGAACTTGCTTGATTTGAGTGAGCAGCAGGGCGCCAGTCCCTTAGGTAGAAGCACATCCTCACATGTTGGCAGCTGAATCCTTTTTGGCAAATCAAAACTTTAGTTTTTTGGAGCGATAGTCTCAGTTCCTCCACGACACTTCTGACCGTGTAATGTAGAAGTAAAGAGTATAAAGTATGTCTCACATCTGTGTTTTGTCCTGTCATGACATAAAACCACTTTCAGATATTGAAAAAATATACTGTATATACAGTATATATATATATATATATATATATATATATATATATATATATATATATATACTGTATATATATATATATATATACAGTATATATATTAATCTTGATGTTTTTCTTGGCAGCTGTTAACACAACATATTGTTATATGTATAGAAAATAATAACAACTGAAGTTAATGAGTAAAAAAAGCAGTGTTTTAGCAACTCTTAAAAACATAACTATATAACCTTTAACACATTGTTTTCAGGCTAAAGAGTAAATTAAAATTTACCAATTACTGCCGGCATTTCTCTGTCATGTAAAGATTGAGCAAAACCCTTACTAAAATGAATAATAATTGCATTATGTAAGTGTAAGAGACTGGATCAGTATTCTGCTGCTCGTTAAAGCTGGTCTATTTGAATTAACTATATTCTTGTGTCTCCCTCTTCAACCGGGTCGGTTCTGTCATATGGACATTCTTTTGGTCTTTGTATTTAAAATTCAATAGCTTTACATTTTCTATTTTTAGTGTTCATATTAGATTTGTTTTTAAAATATGTCTTCATTTCTTTGCTAGTTTACTATTTATCACTTGTTTTCACAGGCATGCATTTATTTTCCTGTCACAGATTTTTCAATGAAAAAGAGAGTACCAGGCCTGACTCAGCCAATCTGTGTTTTATGAGATAAATACAGCTCTGATTTGCTCAAAAATGTTGGGACAAACAAAATATATTTTAACGTGAAGTACTCCAGCTTTAATGATATGGATAAATAAACCCTCAAATCCAAGCCAAATATATATAGATCTTACCCATTAAGGCTTAATAGCTGTGTTTTTGAGAGACCCATGTGCCCACTCCAGCGCTCGGGATGAAACAGAAGATTGGACGGGCCTGCATTTCACTGGGTTGTTTTGACCACGTTGCCACGACGACGGCATGTTTTCCACAGTGCCTTTTTTCATGCCTTTTTGATGAGAGATTGTGATAATGGGGATGAATTGCCTGGCCTGCCAAACGATATGCTTTTTCAAAGACATATAGTCTGGGAACGAGCTTGATCTCAGCGAATTCCCGGTGGGCGTGGTTGACAGACTGCATCAACCAATTAGATGCACACAGGATATGACGCAGCAACTAGCGGCACCCAAGCCGTTTCAGTAAACACAAAACAAGGGATGGCGACATGTCAGCTAGTGCAAATGTAAACGACTGCTGTCGATTTTGTAACAAAAACTTAAAGATACGAGGAGTTATTAGCAACTCAAAGGTGAAAGGAAGTCCCGCCTCTCGGTGCGTGATTGGACCGATGTGGGTAAAATCGTGAAATGATAGGCTAGGAAGAGGTGTCCAGACGGTTCTTCTTTTGAACAGAAAGGAGGAGTGTCTGGCAGGCCAGGCAAGGGGATGAAGGTATTAGCATGTTAGTGTGTGATGTCCAGATAAAGAAGTTGTTGTTTTTATACCCTTCCATGTGTGTGTGACTCTTCCACACGTGCGCCGCTGGGTGGTACGTGGGTGCTTTGACCTTTGTGGAATATTGATGTGTGTTGCAAATTGATATTGTTTGCCTCGCTGCCTCCTTGTAGTGCATAATCCCTGTCGTGCAAAATATAGGTTCAAGAGGCTGATAATGGCAGCGCTCCCTATGTGACCAGACCTATGGGTATGGAGTGATTATTATGTGTTGTCCGGATGTGAGCTCTGGTATGCCATCTCAACTGTTTGTGTTGTATGCTTTTGAGTATAGGTGTGAAAATGGGCGTTGAGATTGCAGGAAAGTGTGTCAGAGAGGGTCAAAAGACAGCATTCTAGTAGAAACCACATTCATGGGAAAGAGAATTGGCCCCTATGCCCGTCTTTGAGGATGAGGACAAAGGGAGCACAGAAGGAGATGACAGGTGAGAAAAATGATTTCAGACCGAGAAGACAGGCGCACAGCTCACCGTGAGTCTGAGTGTGTGCGTGCATGTAAGTGTTTGTGTGTGTGTGAGAGAGAGAGAGAATATTAAAGACACTCAATGCCGTCTTACGTATAAAGGACTGTGTCAAATTCAATTATTATCAGCCTTGGGAAAAATGGCTTGGACATTCACGGCACATACTGTAGATGATCCTTTATGATGAGACTGGGAAAGACAACACGGCTCTTGTGTTGAATAGTTGTATATGGATTAGTTTCAATTTAAATGAACAAGTTTTGTTTAAGCTTTACAAATACAGGAATTCTGCAGAAGTAGTTTGCACCTGGGCCAACCATGCACCAGTACAATGGGGTAATATCAGTACTGTGAACTTAGGCTGTTAAAGCTGTTAGCCTCTCTGGGATTTGGGACCTTCACCCGCTCATGTCTTGAGAGTGACCAGTAATTGGTCTGGGTACACTGGATATCGCACAGACATCCTGGTCCTTGGTGGTCTTGGACTAAAACT